GTATTTGAATAACTATGAATTGTGACATTTTTCACTGTAGTGCATCAAATATATGTCAATGTTGGAAATCATCTTTACTTTTTGTGCCATTCAGTTTAATCACAAAACAGACCGAGGAATTTTTTGACATTTATTGTTATTTTTAGACAGCAAAGCACCCCTTATAAACCATTGTTCTTTACTATTGGAGGACCAATAACTATAATTTCAACAAATTATTACTTGATATCCTAATGACCTTATTGACCTAACCTAATTAAAACATTACAAATAGTTAATGTTTGGCGTACTTGTCATGGCCATTTATTCACAATTTTTTCATCAAAACAACAAAATATGCGCCGATCTTCAATCGATATGGCAGCATATACACAAACAACTCAAAGCAGTAGAAACACCATCTTGACCCAAGGGACCTGGAAAAAACAGTGCCCCATGGAGGTGGCATCCTCTGCAAAATTCTGCCATTAATATTGTTTTTATAACATCACAACACACGATTCTTTAAAGTCACTGGCGCAAAATTCTCTGCTCCATCTTGAGTCTTTGTCGATATGCATACAATCAATCAATCATTCTTATGGTCCATGACGCTGAAAATATAAATTTAAAACAGCAGAAATTCTGTTCTACACACATCAAAAACAGTAATTTACTTATGAAGATTAACAGGCTCATTAATATACATGTATGTAAAAATGTTTTAACATCAATTAATTCAAAATAAAATTTCTTTTAAAGCCAAGCATTTCTGCAAAAGTTATAACTTGGAGAGGGTGGGAGGGTTCTTCACTTCAAATTTTTTGCAGCCGCAGCTTTGTTGTTTAACCGGAAAAGGAAGTTTACCTTGCACATGCCCAGACGTATATATAAATGTGACAAGTATGAGTTATCTTTCTTACTATAGTAAATAATTATGTGCTCAAAATAACTTAGTTTATCCAGAAGAGATAAACTTTATTATTTTTAGACAGCAAAGCACCCCTTATAAACCATTGTTCTTTACTATTGGAGGACCAATAACTATAATTTCAACAAATTATTACTTGATATCCTAATGACCTTATTGACCTAACCTAATTAAAACATTACAAATAGTTAATGTTTGGCGTACTTGTCATGGCCATTTATTCACAATTTTTTCATCAAAACAACAAAATATGCGCCGATCTTCAATCGATATGGCAGCATATACACAAACAACTCAAAGCAGTAGAAACACCACCTTGACCCAAGGGACCTGGAAAAAACAGTGCCCTATGGAGGTGGCATCCTCTGCAAAATTCTGCCAAATGAACCACAAAACATTTTTTGTGGGTCATCCGCCAACAAATCTAGGCGGTCAATTTTGCAATCATCAATACAAATACATATTTATCAACTTTACACTCAACTAGCAGTGTATACAATTCAATTTTCAAATATGCAACTTCACAACTTCAAGGTTTGGCCATGACAAGACTTAACAAGTTTATGTAGTAGTAGTAGGATAAAATCTGTCAGTGGTTGACAAAAACATTCCCAGAGCATTTCTTAAAGAATTCACAAACAAGTCATTACCCAAGTCTGACAAGTGTACACCATCTTTGCGAAAAAGGGTTACATGTCTTTTTAAAATATCAGGATATTTAATGGAGGCCCCACACATTTTCTTAACAACAAATGTAGCAAGTGCAGATTAATTCTTTTTCTCCAATTTTCACCATCATTGTTAGAGAGACACAAGGTCCAATTACTTCGTGGTAAAATATGCGACCAAACAATAACTGTCTTTGGCATTAATTGTGAAATATTTACAATGGTAGATTTCATATACATTTGTAAACCCTTCAATGTATTATGAGGATTACCGATATCATTGCCCCCACAATGTATTACTAGGATTGCTGGTGGGTCATTATTTTTTAATTTCTTTTGGATAGTTGGATACAGCTGCGACCAAACCATACCCCTTATCCCATGCCAAATTATCCTATGTGATTCAAATCCCAGGTTGTTAATCATTCTCTGTTGAGCATATTTCTGAGCCCAATATATCAATGAAGATCCAATGATCCATATGCAATCTGAAACAATTTTTGACAAAATAAATTTGCATCTAACTTATTAAACAATCGGCCTTATGTATGACTTATAGGCAGCAGAACTCCATCTGCCAATTGTTTTGATTTCAGCTTCGCTCATACCGTTTAAATACAGATGTGTGGCCCCACCAATTCTAAAAGAATGAGATTTAAAAACCGATGTGTTTATATTCAAAAATGATAAACATTTATTTAGCATTGTAGAAAACTGATACTGTGTCAAAGGCTTGGAGTTGAAATGCACAAAGAATTTAGTTGTTGAAATTGTCTGACGCATAACAATAAATTTCTGCAGTATTGTAAACAAAATTAAGGACTGGGCATGCTTTGGGACTTTAACTGCTGAACCCTAGAGGGTAATCAGACTTATCCGGAACTTATATGCTATGTTACGATTGGTTCTATCTTTTATTTTTTGTGGACATGTGCTATCCTAGGTATGTGCACTAATTTATTGTTTATTTGATCAGTCTATCATTCAACAATCAATTTCATAGCACTCAAATATGAATTGCTTTTGTTTCAGATGACTGTGTTCATTGCGTATTAAACATATGAAGCAAATAGACATCGTTCTTATTTATGAACACAGTCTCATCGGCACCGGAAGCAAACAAGTCTACTTTCACTTTCAATAACAACAATGCCAAAAATCAAGTGTCCCATCCCCGACTGTGAATATGAAACTGCAGACCTAGAAGCTGCCATCGTGGCTTCCCTACTTACAGTTCACAGCACCATCCACTCATCTTTAAACGCACCTACCGCTAAAATAGAGAAAGTTAAACGCCCTTCCATATCAGCAGCTGGTACTAGTGAGGAATGGTCATACTTCATGTCAAGATGGTCCGACTATGTCAGCGCCACTAAGATTGAAGGCCGTGACAAAGTTGTTCAGCTCTTGGAATGCTGTGACGAACCCCTCAGGAAAGACCTCACACGATCTACTGGAGGCAGTCTCACAGATAAAACTGAGGAAACTATACTTTCAGCCATCAAAAAACTTGCTGTACGCGAAGAAAACACGATGGTGGCTAGGGTCACTCTCCATAATATGCGTCAAGACAGGGATGAACCAGTGCGTAATTTTAGTGCTAAACTTCGTGGGCAAGCAGGAGTCTGTAAATTTGTAATCACATGCCCCAACTGCAATCATGAGGTAAATTACACTGACACTATAGTTCGTGATGTACTTGCACGAGGCATAGCTGACCCTGACATTCAACTTGACCTCCTCGGGGACAAAAACCAAAACATGACTTTAGAGGAAGTCACCCAATTTATGGAAGCCAAGGAAGCAGGAAAACGGTCTGCCTCTCGACTATTAGACACAAACGCTGCAGCAACTACTAGCTGTTATAAGAGGACAAAGCAAATAGCACTGAAGGACAAGAATGAAACATGCTCCTACTGTGGGAAAAAAGGTCATGGCAGACATGCACCAGCTCGTACCCGCAAAACAGAATGTCCTGCCTATGGTCACAAGTGCGGACATTGCAACAAGGACCATCACTTAGAGGCTCTTTGTCGAAGCAAAGACAAGGAAAAACTCCCTACAGCCTCTACAGACACCCACAGCTATGAAGGTGGTGTATTTGAATCCCTCTGTGTCCTATCCGACATCATCTCCAATCACCACTCAAACAAATCAATCGCATTAGATCATCATCTTTATGACCATCTATCAGACACATGGATCAGAAAGCGTTCCAAACCTCAACCATTCATCAATCTTATTATCAAATCCTTACCTGAGGACCACAAAGCACTGGGTTTCTCATTGAATGCACCACAAAGAACCATAAAACTCCCAGCTATGGCCGACACAGGATGTCAGAGCTGCCCTGGCAGGAATTAAGGTTATCCACAAACTGGGACTTACAAAATCTGACCTCATTCCAGTGACAATGAAGATGCATGCTGCCAACAATAGGGACATTACAATCCTCGGAGCAACCATCCTTCTCATATCTGGAATAGACAACCATGGCAAGCCAGTCGAGACCAGGCAAATGACATATGTGACTGACAATTCTGATAAACTATTCCTTAGTAGAGAAGCTTGTGTTGCACTTGGAATCATTCCAGACACTTTCCCTTCAATTGGTAACTGCAGTGAAAATATGATTACAACAGATTCACCTCAGGAGACACAAAACTGCCAATGCCCAACGCGACAGCCGCCACCACCACTTCCAAGAACACTCCCATTTGCAGCAACAGACAACAATCGACTTAAACTCCGTGATTTCCTACTGAACCACTACAGGTCCAGCACTTTCAACACTTGTGAACACCAAGCCCTACCACTAATGAGAGGACCTCCAATGCGTCTGATGGTGGAGCCTGACGCCAAACCTGTTGCTCACCATACACCTGTTCCTGTTCCGATTCATTGGCGAGAGGAAGTCAAGGCAGGACTGGATCAAGATGTACAACTCGGAGTCATAGAGCCTGTACCTATCGGCGAACCTGTGACATGGTGCCATAGAATGGTTGTGTGTGCAAAGAAAAATGGCAAACCCCGCCGCACCGTAGACTTTCAACCTCTCAATGCATACGCTACCCGTGAAACCCATCACACCCCCTCGCCATTTCACCAAGCAAGACTTGTCCCTCACGACACAAGGAAATCAGTTTTAGATGCCTGGAATGGATACCACAGTGTTCCCATCCATCCAGATGACCGACATCTTACAACATTCATAACACCTTGGGGCCGATATCGCTACAAGACTGCTCCACAGGGATATATTGCTTCCGGCGACGGCTACACCAGAAGATATGACGAGATCGTTGCACACATACAAAACAAAACTAAATGCATTGATGATGTTCTGCTTTGGGCCAATTCCCTTGAGGACAGTTTCTTTCAGGTCGCACAGTGGCTAGACATTTGTGGACGAAACGGCATTACCCTCAATCCAGAGAAATTCCAGTTTGCACAAGACACTGTTGACTTTGCAGGCTTTGAAATCTCTTCAAACAGTGTCCGTCCATGCGCGAAATACTTCAATGCCATCATGGATTTCCCAACCCCTCAAAACATAACTGACGTACGCTCTTGGTTTGGACTTGTTAATCAAGTTTCATATGCATTCAGCATGGCAGACAAGATGACTCCTTTCCGACAGCTACTCAAACATAATGCACCATTTGAATGGAGCACCGAACTTGACAATCTCTTCCAAATTTCAAAAAAGGCTATCATCAAAGAGATCGAGTATGGGGTGAAAATATTTGATCGCAGCAAACCTACTTGCTTAGCTACAGATTGGTCAAAAACTGGTATTGGATTTTGGCTGTTCCAAAAACATTGCACTTGCCCTGGACGAGAACCTTTTTGCTGCACATCAGGCTGGAAAATCACACTTGTAGGAAGCAGATTCACCCACCCAGCGGAATCAAGATATGCACCCATAGAAGGTGAGGCCCTGGCTGTCGCAGATGCCCTAGATAAGGCCAGATACTTTGTCCTTGGATGCGACAATCTCATCATCGCTGTAGATCACAAGCCACTTTTAAAAATACTTGGAGACCGATCCCTAGAGGACATTCCAAATTCCCGCCTCCGAAACCTCAAGGAAAAAACACTACGTTACCGATTTCGTGTAACCCATATACCAGGTGTGAAGCACCGTGCAGCTGACTGCCTCTCACGCCACCCAGCAGGAAAATCTGAGCAACTGAAACTACCTGATGACATAGCTTCTATTAGCTATGCTCTTCCACCATCTCATTTCCTTGCTGGTATACGTTCCAATGATGATCCTGACAACATGGAAGATAACTTAGTTGCTGCAGCAAGCACAACACTCAGCTCTCTATCCATTCAATCAGTCACGTGGGACAGAGTCCGCATAGCCACTACAAGTGATGTCAACATGCATCAACTACTTCAGCTCATTGAATCAGGCTTGCCTGAGTCCAGGCATGAGTTTCCCCCTGCCCTACGGGAATACTTTCAGTTCCGTGAATACCTCCACTCTTTAGATGGAGTCATTCTATATAAGGACCGCATTGTTATACCCCCCTGCCTTAGGCAGGAGATCCTTTCAGTCCTACACTCTGCCCACCAAGGAGTAACTGCAATGATCTCAAGAGCTGAAGCCTCCGTCTTCTGGCCAGGAATCACACCTGATATAACTTCTGTTCGTGCACAGTGTATTCAGTGTAATCGCATTGCACCTTCCAACCCCAGTGCTCCACCAACCCCTCTCATTTCTCCAGACTATCCATTCCAATGCCTATGTGCTGATTTTTTCCACCACAAGGGGACAAATTACCTTGTCATTGTTGACAGATATTCAAACTGGCCAATAGTCGAGAAATCATCAGAGGGAGCAACTGGTTTAATCAACTGCCTAAGGCGTACATTCGTCACTTTTGGTATTCCAGACGAGCTTGCAACACATGGCGGACCAGAATTTACGGCTACAGCCACACGGCAATTCATGAAAGATTGGGGTATCCATCACCGATTATCATCAGTCGCATTTCCACACAGTAATTGCCGAGCAGAAATTGGAGTAAAGACAGTGAAGCGCCTTATCTCAGACAACACCGCCCCTAATGGTGACCTAAACACTGATCTATTCCAACGTGCTATGCTCCAGTACAGGAATACCCCTGACAGGGACACCAAGTTGTCTCCAGCCATGTGTGTTTTCAACCACCCTATCCGAGACTTCATTCCAATCCCACCAGGAAAATACAAACCTCACAACACTTGGCAGGAGACTATGTTTGCAAGAGAAGAGGCTCTTCGCTTCCGCCATATGCGCTCAGCAGAACGCTGGACAGAACATACCAAGCGCCTCCCACCATTGATCATTGGTGATCACGTCCGCATTCAAAATCAAATTGGTCCACATCCCTTGAAATGGGACAAAACGGGGATCGTCATTGAAGTCCGTCAGTTTGACCAATATGTCGTCAAAATGGATGGCTCTGGCAGAGTAACCACACGGAACAGAAAGTTCCTCAAAAAATTTATACCTGTGAAATTACTTGAACCCACAAGGACCATAGACACTGACTTACTTCACAAGACAGCATATATGTCTCCACAGGTACATAATAAGGAGCTTCCTCAACACCATGATAAGGAGCCAGATGCAAAGCCACTGTCAGACCACATTGACATACCACTAGTGCCAACCCAGAAAACCTCAAGACCTCGTTTCCTAGCAACTGACTCACCTATGGTTCCTGTCGAAAGAGAAGCACATTCACCACTTTCCAAATCGCCCGCAAAACACAGACCTGACATGCAGGAGCAGACACCCTCAGAAAACCGACCATCGTTTGTTGATGGTAACAATATGGAGCCCCAAACTTGTCTCACACCACACCATTCACCTCCTGCAGCTCAGATGACACCACGCCGCTCCGGACGCACTACTCACGCTCCAAAATGGCATGCTGATTACGAAATGAATACCTGAATTTCACATTTAGCCCTAATTCATCAGTCTTTTTTTTTTCTTTTCTTCCATCTCCAAAAAGACTTGGGGGGAGATAGAGGGTAATCAGACTTATCCGGAACTTATATGCTATGTTACGATTGGTTCTATCTTTTATTTTTTGTGGACATGTGCTATCCTAGGTATGTGCACTAATTTATTGTTTATTTGATCAGTCTATCATTCAACAATCAATTTCATAGCACTCAAATATGAATTGCTTTTGTTTCAGATGACTGTGTTCATTGCGTATTAAACATATGAAGCAAATAGACATCGTTCTTATTTAAACCCTTGTGCATTTGATCAGTTTTGGAACTTTTTTTTTTTTTTTTTTTTTTTTTTTTGTTATTTCCAATAACATACAACAAAATTTGAGGCAAAACTTCCTCAGAAGCCCTCTGTTAATACCTCACTTGGGGTGCCAGGAGCTCCCTGGATCGGTATATT